TCCTCAATAAATCTAGTCCCATTTGCCAGCATTTGGCCCATATCCCTCTAAACCCTTATTATTCATATACCCATCCAGATGCCTTTTAAATGTTGTAATTGTACCAGTCTTCACCACTTCCTCTGGCATCTCATCCCATATATGGACCACTCTCTGCATGAAAAAGTTGCCCGTTAGGTCCCTTTTATATCTTTCCCCGCTCACCTTAAACCTATAGGTTTATACAGAACATTGGTTAGACCACTATTGGAATACCACGTGCAATTCTCATCTCCCTGCTATAGGAAGCATGTTGTGAAACTTGAAAGGGTTCAGAAAAGATTTACAAGGATGTTGTCAGGGTTGAAGGGTTTGATCTATAGACTGGAGCACTGGAGGCTGAGGGGTAATCTTAGAGAGGCTTATAAAACCATGAGGGGCATGGACAGGGTAAATAGGCAAGGTCTTTTCCCCGGGGTGGGAGAGTCCAAAACAAGAGGTCATAGGTTTAAGGTGAGAAGGGAAAGATTTAAAAGGGACCTAAGGGGCAACTTTTTCACTCAGAGGGTGGTGCATGTACGGAATGAGCTGCCAGAGGAAGTTGTGGAGACTGGTACAATTGCAACATTTAAAAGCCATCTGGATGAGTATGTGAATAGTGAGTGTTTAGAAGGATATGGGCCAAATGCTGGCAAATGGGACTAGATTTATATATGCTGGTACTCCACGAAGAAAGCCATCAACAAACACATAGAACTCGACCCATATACACTCCACTACGAAGGAAAACTGGAAATGAGGTAATCCAGCTCAACGGACTCCAGAGTTTAAAAACCAGGTGGGAAAACACAATGGCGCTTTATCAGAGGCTGCACTGATGATGTTACCCAGCAGGGTAATGAAACGTCTGCGGAACAATGAACCAGCTCGGTGAGCCGACCAACCACAATACCCACAACCCAAGCTACAAATCTACTCCAAAACCTTAGATTTATATAGGTTATCTGGTCGGCATGGACTGGTTGGACAGAAGGGTCTGTTTCCATGCTATATATCTCTGTACCTCTCTAAGGGGCTTCACCAATGTCCTGTACAACCTCAGCATGACTTCCCAACTCCTATACTCAAAGGTCTGAGGAATTAAGGCAAACTTGCTAAACACCTTCTTAATCAATCTTTCTACCTGTGATGCAAATTCAAAGAATTATGTACCTGAACCCTGAGGTCTCTCTGTTCTACCCAGGGCCTTACCATTAATTTATAATTCCTGTCCTTGTTTGCTTTACCAAAATGCAAATCCTTGCATATATCCAAATTAAATTTCATCTGCCACTCCTCGGCCCATTGACCCAATTGATCAAGATAATCATTGTTAACCACTTTCACTTTCCACTATACCACCAATTTTGGTATTAGCCAAAAACTTACTAACCATGCCACCTAAATTGTCACCCAAATCATTTACGTAAGTGACAAACAAGAGTGAACCCAGTAAAGATCTTTGTGGAACACCGCTGGTCACAGTCTTCCAGTCTGAAAAACAACTCTCCATCCCCACCACCCTCTGTCTCCTACCATCAAACCAACTGGCAAGTTCACCCTGAATCCCATGTTATCTAACTTTGCTATTTAGTCTACCATGGGGAACCTTGTCAAAGGCTTTACTAAAGTCCATGTAAACAATATCTACCGCTCTGCCCTCATCAATATTTTTGGTTATTTTCTCAATCAAGTTTGTGAGACATGATTTCCCTCTCAGAAATCCATGCTGAGTATCCCTAATCAGTCCTTGCCTCTCCAAATGCATGTAAATTCTGTACCTCAGAATTACCTCCAACAACTTATCTACTACAGATATCAGGCTCACAGGTCTAAGGTTCTCCTTAAAGCCTTTCTTCCTGAGCAGATTAAGTAGAATGCTTCACCTAATCTAATAGTGAAGTCAGTTTGTGTGATTGACAGTGAAATGGCAGTGGTTGATGAAGAAGCACTAGGATTTGAAGAACTGATGGAAGTTCTAGTAGCATATGGGATGGTCAGACTGATCTTTCACTTGGTAGTATTCACAGTGCACCTGATAAGGGTACAGCTAATAAGAAACTCTGCGCACTAAGGAAAATTTTTTGCCCAAGCATCGGTATGATATTCTACTTTTATAAGAGAGCCTAGTAAGTTCTTTGTTTTTGTCTTCATCTTCATGACAGTGTTGTGAGTCGTTGGAACACCTTGCTACAGAGAGGCATGGGGGCAGAGTCATTGTGTATATTTAAGGCTGAGATTGACAGATTCATGATCAGTAGGGGAATCAATGGTTAAGGAGAAAGGGCAGGAAAGTGTACTTGAGGAGTTTTGGATCAGCCATGACCCTATTGAATGGCAGATCAGGATTGAGGGGTCGATTGGCCTAGTCCTGTTCCTATTTCTTATGGTCTTTATGTTCCAGCGGCACTGTCTGATATGACAGTAGGAAAACTGAAGTTACTCCCATCTCAGCATTTCCTCAGGAATGTTTTATGTTAATTTCAAATCTGCCTCAGCAGTCCTGACTGCAAATCTTCTAGTGAATGCAGCAGTCTCTGAAAAGAGGTAGTGTTAAAAATATAGTCTTAAGGGGAATACTTATAGTTAAATGTTTTGTTAGAATATTGGAGTATTATGCCCAGTTGTGAGTACCATATTATAGGAAAAAGGCAAATGTTTTGGGAGAGTTTGAGTGTTTGATTTATTGTTGTCACATGTACTGAGATGCAGTGACAAGTGCTGCTTTGTGTGTTATTCAGGCAGATAGTACCATACAAAGTGCATCAGAGTAGCAGAACAGAGTGCAGGATACAGTGTTACAGCTGCAGAGAAGGTGCAGAGAGAGAAAGAGAGAGAGAAAGAGAGATCAGAATTAACATTTGAGAGGTCCATTCAAAAGTCTGATGACAGCAGGGAAAAGCTACTTTTGAACCTGTTCATATGTATATTCAAACATTTATATCTTCTGCCTGAAGGAATTGGTTGGAAGAGAGTATAACCAGGGTGTGAGGGTCTTTGATTATGTTGATTGCTTTCACGAGGCAGTGGGAAGTATAGATGGAGTTTTGGACTGGACTGTGTTCACTACTTTCTGTAATTTCTTGAGGTCTTAGGAAGAGCAGTTGCCAAATCATACCATGACTTATTCAGATAGGATGCTTTCTATGCAATGTTTCCAGGAGTGAGAAGCTTTAGTTATGAGGATAGATTGAAAGGGTTGGGAATGTTGTCCTTACAGAGAAGGCTGAGAGGAGATTTGATAGAGGTTTTCAAAATCATGAGCAGGCTGGACAGAGTAGATAGGGAGAAGCTGGTCCCACTTGTTAAGAAAGTTAATACTGTTAAGAAAGTACTTTTAGTTGGTAATCTCAGTGTGTTATGGCGCAGAAGGCAGCCATTTTGGCTGATCATGCCTACATCGCACTATTTCTATCCAAATAATCATCCAATGCCCTCTTGAGTGTCTCAGTTAAACTTGTGTTCACGACATTTCCAGGCAATGCATTCTGTACTCTAACTTTCTTTTACACATCACCCTGGCTTTGTTTGCACATCATTTTAAATCTATGTCCTCTTGTTCTTTTTCCTTTTATAAGTGGGAGCAGCTTCTCCCTTTCTACCCTGCCTAGCCTGCTCATGATTTTGAAAACCTTTATCAAATCTCCTCTCAGCCTTCTCTCTAAGGGCAACAGCCTCAAGTTTTTCAATCTATCCTCATAACTGATGTTTCTCATTCCTGGGAACCATTCTTATAAATCACTTCTGCACTCTCTCCAATACATTCACATTTTTCCTCTAATGTGGCACTCACAACTGTGCACAAATAACATTGAAACTGGAAACGTTCTTTGGGGAGAAATAGACCTAGGATTTAATTAAGCTGTGATGTCACTGTGACCTCATTCATCATGCGTTAGTGTTCTGCTATGAAGTTTGACTGTACAGCTTGCAGTGTGCTGCTCTGTAGCCTTGCCATTGTATACAATGTAACAATGAACAGTATTTATCATTAACAAAGAAGTCTGCCCTTACTTTGTATCAAGTTTGGAAAACCCACATCAGAACCCAATCCAAAGCTGTTGGCATCAAGAAGGTAACACAAAGGTAGATTTTTTTTTTGAAAAATGGATGCTTTTTTGACTTGGCTGCTCTGTGATGTGCAAATAGCTATTCCAATTGGGTTAGTATATAGAGATAGTAGGAACTGCAGATGCTGGCAAATCTGAGATAACAAGGTGTAGAGCTGGATGAACACAGCAGGCCAA